AACTTCCGAAGTCATTCTGGGGAGAAGCAGTCAACACCGCATGCTATCTTATCAATTGATCACCTTCAGTATCACTGAACTTTGAAGTTCCAGAGAGGCTATGGACAGGTAAGGATCCTACATACTCACATCTTAGAGTATTTGGTTGTTCATCATATGCACATGTATCCAAAGAGCTCAGGCAGAAGCTCGATGCAAGAACTATCCCATGCATTTTCGTTGGCTATGGAAATGAAGAGTTCGGATACAGGTTATGGGATCCTAAGGAGAAAAATGTGTTCAGAAGTAGGGACGTTGTGTTCCACGAAGATTTGACAATAGAAGACATTGAAAAACCCACAATGTCTCGGAAGTCAAATGATGGTGCTAGAGTTTCAAATGAAGCACCAGAAGAAGACAAAGTGCAGGAAGATAACTCAGAAGTAGAAGAAGACGAGGAGACAAAAGATAGTGCAGAGCAAGGGGAGACACAATCCACCCCGCCAAACACAAATGATGGTAGCTCTTCTCAGATGGTTCCTACTGTTCGTAGATCTGAACGAGGGCATATACCATCGACAAGGTACACATCATCTGAATATCTTTTGTTAACTGAAGATGGAGAACCAGAGAGTTTTCAAGAAGCTGTATCTCATAAGGATAAAGAAAAATGGCTAATAGCAATGCAGGATGAGTTAGAATCTCTGCAGAAAAATCAAACCTATGAGATCGTAGAACTTCCTAAAGGGAAGAAAGCTCTGAGGAACAAATGGGTGTTCAAGCTGAAGAAGGATGCAAACGGACAAGTGGTGAAACACAAAGCTCGGTTGGTTGTCAAAGGGTTCCAGCAGAAGAAAGGAATTGACTTTGATGAGATCTTTGCATCAGTTGTCAAGATGACCTCAATCCGAGTTATACTTGGCTTGGCAGCAAGTATGAACTTGGAGCTTGAACAAATGAATGTGAAGACAACATTTCTTCACGGAGATTTGAAAGAAGAAATCTATATGCAGCAGCCAGAAGGTTTTGAGAACTCAAATGATAACTTTGTGTGTAAGTTATCTAAAAGTTTGTATGGCTTGAAGCAGGCACCAAGGCAGTGGAATAAGAAGTTTGACACATGCATGAAGAGTCAAGGCTACAAGAAGACTACTGCGGATGAGTGTGTATACATCAAGAAACTTCCAGACGGTACTTTCATTGCTCTTCTACTATATGTAGACGACATGTTGATCGTTGGGAAAGATGCAATGAAGATAAACCAGCTGAAGAAAGAACTCTCTAAGTCTTTTGATATGAAAGACTTAGGACCGGCTCAACAGATTCTTGGGATGCAGATCACTCGAGACAGGAAGAATCGCAAGTTATGACTATCTCAGGAGAAGTACATTGATTGAGTACTTGAGAGATTTAACATGAATGATGCCAAACCAGTAAGTGTTCCACTTGCGAATCACTTCAAGTTGAGCAAAAGAACATGCCCTACATCCAAGGAAGAGATTGGGGAGATGTCATCAGTTCCATATTCTTCAGCAGTTGGGAGTTTGATGTACGCCATGGTATGCACAAGGCCAGACATCGCACAGGTAGTGGGTACAGTGAGTCGTTTTCTCTCTAACCCCGGGAAGGAGCATTGAGAGGTAGTCAAATGGATTCTCAGGTACTTGAAAGGTACCACGAAGTTATGTCTTTGTTACGGAGGAGCTGATCTAGTCTTGGAAGGCTACACAGATGTTGATATGGCCGGAGACATTGATAGTAGAAAGTCTACTTCAGGATATATCTACACTTTTGCAGGGGGAGTCGTTTCTTGGCAATCAAGATTGCAGAAGTGTGTTGCTTTTTCTACAACAGAAGCAGAATACATTGTTGCCACTGAAGCAGGTACATTGTGACAGTCAGAGTACAAGGTACATTGTGACAGTCAGAGTGCTCTAGACTTGAGCAAGAACTCTATGTACCATTCCCGTACAAAGCATATTGACATTCGGTATAACCGGATACGGGAGACAATTGATCAGCAACTGTTGAGACTAGTGAAGATCAATACAAAGGAGAATCCATCAGACATGCTGACAAAGGTGGTGACAAGGGATAAGCTAGAGCTGTGCAGAGACATAGTCGGGATGCTTGTTTTGAATATGCCTGGAAGGGGAGAATTGAAGAATTCAATTTCCAGGTCATATCCAAAGTACAAGCAAATTGAAGAATCCAATTGCAACAACCATGGAGCTTTCTCCATGTGCAATCAACAACCATGAAGCTTCCTCCATGTGCAAGAATGACAAAGGGGGCTTCCTCAACCACCATTGAAGTTTCCTCATGTTTAATCCCACCTTCCTCCCACCTTCATAGTACCTAGTTTTGGTGCTATAAATAGAGAGCTTAGAGAGTCTTTCTATCATCAAGTAAATTAGAATTGATCATCATAGCACAACCAAGAAGAGTTGTGAATATCCTTGAGAGATATGTGAGGTGTTGTTTTGAGAGTTTTAGTTAGAGCTTGTATGTCTCTTCTTTCTATTCTTGAAAGTAATAGAAGTGTTTTTCTCTCATATTAGCACGATCCTGTTATTCCCAACAGTTGTTAGGCACTTATGCCAAAGTGGCGTACCGAAAGCCAAAAATATAATAAAAACAACAAAAATGTCATACATTGATACAAATTATAGTTCATTACATATTACTTGGCTCATTTTTGCAACCTGGACAAGTCAATCCTACGAGTTTTCATATGTTGAAAATGTTTCGTGATAACTTCTTTATCAATTGTTTGGAAAGTAGCTCTTTCAATGTATCATCCTAATATTAATGTGGAGTTATATTTTTTTTTGGAACGAGGAGTTATATTTTTAATACTATGGTGTGTGTAAAAAGTTTTTATTTTAAGATGGGTTCTCACTACAACTCACCCCTATATTTTAAGACAGGTCCCAGGTTGACTCGTGACATGATCATGTGGTCGGGTCACTTTGCGGTCGAGTTTTTAAACATAAGTCTACACATCCACGATTAACAGGGAAAGCAAGTGATCGAAGCAACAGTATGAGAAAACGGCATAACAAAGTTACAAGATGCCATACCTCGACCGCATAAATAATAAAAAAAATACAAGAAGAGAGGGGAACAGACCAAAATCTCTCAAAGAGAGGCATACCTCTTCAAATTAAAAGCATAAATATTAATTAAAGAAAATTAATTGGGGGCTAGGCCTGACCCAATTAAGAGAGGAAAAAATATTAATAAAATCTAATGAAAGAGAGACCCTAAGAATCAGTAATAAGAGCTTAATAAAATTGGGAACATCATTAATAGTGAAGTAATTAAGTAATAAAATTGTTGGAAACAGATATATATGAGTATCACGAGAGAAGAAACCTGCATAATTACCTTCGCCAAGAAATGCACTTAATGATTAAGGACTACTTTAATTTATATGTATATGTTAAAAACAGCTACTTGCTCACAAGATAATTTAAAAAAAAGTTATCCGGATGACCGGATCTACTCGTGTTGTCCATATTTATCACGATTTATCGATATGTACAATATAATGATATATAGATAAGCATAAACGCACCCTCAATTCCTCAAATACTCAGCATTTGTATTAACTTGGTGCCCAAAATGCACAGGGCTTACCCCAATGTCAACTGCTTATACTACTTGCGAAGTACAATTTATTTGTTACTTGGTGCTTATTAATTATAATTATAATGGCAGACAAATTGGAATTGCTATATTTTTACACAGTTAACCGAAAAATATTGGTCAGTTTCAACCATCCACTGGCCCAATTACTGATGGAGCATAACTAGTGCTTGCACTAGTTATTGGGAGGCATTATTCTCTGTTTTGCGTTTCTAATACAGAGTTATTAATTTTATACTAATATGAAGTTGACTTTTCCATCCTGTGTGATGGAGTCTACTTTTTGGATGGAAAATATGATGGAATAAAGAAAAATACATTGAACTGTCTTTACTTCTTTGTTATGAAGCAACAATCCGTGCATGCAACTTTCGACGTGATTTTCATTATGCGTCATCCAGAAATAGTCTCTTTGTGCTTTAGTACAGGAGTAAGATTACGTACATCCGACCCCACTTTACTCCATCGTAGGTGGGAGCCTTTGCAAGACTGGGGTGATTATCATAATGATGATGATGACGATGATGAAGTTGACAAAGTTGAGTGTGACAGAAGTGATATTAATTTTAAAGAGTAAGTTGCTGCATTGATAGCTGAGTTGGTCACAGTGGTTAACTTTAGAACAAGTGTTCCAAGATCAAGTCTCGCAAGCGGAAGTATTGGAGTAACTTCTCAATGTTAGGGCTCTCCTTGTGCGCAATGGACACTAATGTACCCTCTGTGTTCAACGGAGAATGTTTTTACTTAGATCGAAATTTGCTGGACGGGTCTGGTCTGGTCTGATAAATGTCTGGTCTCTGTGTATTTTATAATTATCCAAGTCTGATCTGATCCGGTGTGGACTGGTTTGGTCTGGTCTGGGACAGAAAACAATCCATGTAAAAACATCCCGAGTCATCATTATTTACAGTTCCTCATATAATCTGTCTGATTTGAACTAGTCTGGTCTTATAAATGTGTGATCTCTGTGTATTTTATAACTATCCAAGTCTGGTATGGCCCGATCTTATCTCATCTGTTCTGAGACCAAAACAATCCAAGTAAACACATCTTGAGTCGTCATTACTTACAATTCCTCATATGTTCTATCGGATCGAAACGCGAGAGCCTTGGACTGGGATTGGGATCCTCTGCCCGACTAGGAGGGGCCTTGCGCATCGGATGGTCGGTCAGCGACGAAGACGGCCTCGAGATAAGCGTAATTGTGGACACCAAAATCTACGACCGTTGAATTGACGATCGAACGGCTGTTCAGAAACAAGACACTCTGAGCAAGACAGCGGCTCCAGATCCCTTGAATAGAATCCGGTCCCACCAAACCTCTATGCTTGTATAGTGTGATGTGAGCAGCCAACTGCATCATTTGTATATATTCGCCAAGTTTTAATGGCCTGCTCCCTCACACTCCGCCATATTCTTCAGATTAGCACTCCACTCTCCACAGTCCATACATATACTCACCTCTCTCTGTTACGGACTGCCGAAATAATCGGATTCATTTGAAAACAGATCGAATGGGTTTGCGATTTTGTGTCCTCCTCCTACAACCTCTCCTCCTCTTCTCAACCTTAGTCGCCGCCGCCATAACCAATCCACCGCCGGCGGCGCAACTCGCATCCTCATCATCATCACCGGCGTCTTCCCTCGCAGCGAACAATCTGGTCCGCAAATCCTGCCTGAACGCCAGCTACCCGCAGATCTGCTACCGCACGCTCTCATCCTACGGCGGCCCCGCCGTGAAGACGCCGAGGGACCTGGCCCAGGCCGCCGTCCTAGTCAGCCTCGTCCGGGTGAAGAAAACGTCGGAGTTTCTGAGCGGAGTCAGGGGCGGCAGCGTGCGGGAGAGGGCGGCGCTGAAGGACTGCGTGGAGCAGATGGGCGACGCGATGGAGGAGCTGCGGCTGAGCGTGGCGGAGCTGAAGCATCTCCGGCGAGGGATGGATTTCGAGTGGCAGATGAGCAACGTGGAGACCTGGGTCAGCGCGGCGTTGACCAACGAGGATACGTGCCTCGACGGGTTTAAGGACGTGTCTCAGACCGTGAGAACCGACGTGAAACGGAAGATCCGAAACATCGCAAAGGTTACCAGTAATGCCCTTTACCTTATCAACCAGGTCGGCAGGTCCCCTAACCACAAATTCCCCCACTTCCATTAGTTTATTAATTAATTACTACGGTAATAAATTAATCAAATTTTCCTGAGCTTGAAGAAAGGTTAACATTAATCAGATTTTATGTGTGCCATGTTTGTTGTGTGATAAGATATAATCATGTAATTATTACCGATAAATATATGACACCTAAAATATCCGTGTTAATGTTAACTTCTTGGTTACATACTTAAGGAGTAGTATACATGTTACTTAATTTTGACATTTGTGTGGTAGTATACTTGTTATAAGAATATACCATTTTTAATACGTAGTACTCCCTCCGTTTCTATTTGGTTGACACACTTTCCTTTTTTGGACGTTTCAAAATGAATGTCACACTTCTTTATTTCTTTATTTGGTAAACAAATCTTTACCTAAACAGTTCAAAACAGTGTCAAACAGTGTTCAAACAAACAGTGCCAAACAGTGTTCAAACAGTGTACTCTACAGTAAAATTTACCCCTTAATAACTTTTTCCCCTTAAATCTTGACAAGTCAAACTGTGTCAACCAAATTGAAACGGAGGGAGTAATAGATAAGAGCTTAAGTATGACTAAAATATAAATAAAGCGTGCAAATAAAATAGGAATGTGATTGTTTTCTTTTTAGATAGGACTCATTTACCTCTAATTTTGAAATAACCGTAGTTTGTCCTGTGTGTGCGATTTGTTTATATTTTACTCTTATTTATAGTAATTTCCTTACAATGATACTTCTCTATGCCTTCATACATATACATAATAATACTTGGGGGGCTTAGGGCTGTTTATTATGGTATTACTAATTCTAGTCCATATAGGGGGTGTTTGGATCTGATTCTCTAAACTGATTCTGCTCCTTCAGGGAGCAGAAGCAGAAGTTGGAGTGTTTGGGTGAAATTCCAGAAGCACTTCTGGAGCTTTAATTTACTCTCAGAATCAGTTTTTTTAGAAGCTGGGAGGTACCAGCTTCTGAAAACTGATTCTGATTCTGCTTCTACTTTTAAAAAAGAAGCAGAAGCAGAATCAGTTCCAAACACCCCCATAATACTGTATATGAGAATGCTTATTTTGTGTGTTTGATACATAATCCGGATTTTGTGAAATACTCATGATTTCGGAAGAATTGTAGGATTACATTGTCAATGAGTATGAGTAATGTCACTTATTAACATAAACTTGTATGATGATGGATTTAAAAATATGTTTAAAAGACATCGTATTTTGGGTCCTAAGGAAAGACCATTATGTAGTATCAAAGCTCAATGATTAAGCAAATTTTATTCAGGGCATCCCCATCCATTAGATTATTTGAGATTTAATTGGATGATGTGAGAGATTATTAAGGAAGATTATTGAAAAAGAAAATCGAGTATCAAGATTTTGGATCCCGGATTATTTTAGGTTGTAGTTAAATTACATTTATTGAAGAGTTTTAAGATTTGAAATTATTTAAAATTTATCGAGTAAATGTGATGTGACAATGATGTGTAAGGATGTTTTTACTTGGACTGTAATTTGTCCCAGATCAGACCAGACCAAATCAGAACAGACCAGATCAGATTTGGATAGTTATAAAAATACAAAGAAACCAGACCAGACCAGCAAATTACATTTCAAGTAAAAATATCCTAATAGAAAAATCATTTATTTTAAGATAATGAATGGAGATGCTCTAATAAGTTGTGTTTTCAACTAACTCTTAACTAAACATGCAATGCAAGATTTCATGACTAAATGGTAAAATTAGTATCAAGATTAACTCTGTTAATTAAGTATTAAATTAAGGCACCAATAAATAATACTCCGTATGGGTGTATTCCTAAATGATACGAGTAATTAATGAGAGGTACTTCGTATTAATCTTCACTTCTTTTTAGCACTTTTTACCTCGACTCAGCATTAATCAAAACTCGCGTGCTGATAGAGAAAACGCAACTCCATGTCATATGTCAATATGAACAAAATTAAAGGCATGTCTGTATCAATTTTTCTATTGTTACACACTTTCTCTACACACACATACACACTATAAATACCTAAAAAAAAAAATTACCCCCTTTCCATCCCTTTCACACGTGCGATACTTCCTCCCGATTTTCAATTTTCGCGCATCCCCCCTTCTCCATTCCTTCGAACTGCCCAACCTCCCCCCTTCTTCCTCCGATCAATTTTGCTTCGTCCTTGCGTTGCTGGAACGTCTTCAAACTGCCCAACCTTCCCCGTCGCTGGCCGTCGCTGCCCAACCTTCGAACTGCCCAACCTCTCGACGAAGCCAACTGTCGTCCCTAGCAACCCCGAAGACTAGCCTCGTCCCCTGCAACCCCCGTCGAAGGCATCCTGCCAACCCTCCGTCGAACGCCAGACTCCTCCACGCCAGCCCCCGTCAAAGGCGACCTTAATCGCTGCACATACAAGGTCCGAATCCTCCTCCCCCTCTGAGTCGAAAATGGTGCGAACTCCTCTTGCAACCATGGCCGAAAGGTATGTATCCTCTAATTTTTTTACAATTTTAGGCTATTTGATGATATTAATTTGGAGGGTGAAGCAAAATATCTCTGTTTGTGAAGTTTTGGAACCCATCTATTGCTTGGATTTTGAACAATAACTTTTGTCTGTGTAAGGGGAATTTTATGCCTGTTGAAGGACATATGTATTGTCTGTGAAGATCGATTTGTCAAAGTATTTGTCTGTGTGAACTTATATGTAAAAGGATGTGCCTCCATTTGTCCGTGAAGACTTATATGATTGTCTGTATGGCTCTGTATATGTCTGTGGGGACTTTATTGTGCCTGAATGCAAGACAATAAAACAGTTCTAAAGTATAACTCTTGTGTAAAATTTGCTCTGTTCTTCATTTTGATGTGCCAATTAATCCTCCATAAGTTTCTTACTCTTTTTCACTTAATTGAGTAATACTAATATTTCTAAACAAGGACTAGTAGAAACTACAGTTGATTAAATTACCAAATTTGGAACAATCATCATTTTGAAGCATTAAAACACAATGAATAGTCAATATATTTCACTATGTCCACTCGTGATTTTGTTAGATTCACTTATTCTAATAACTGCTTCATGTCACCAGGTAGTAAAATGAATAAACATAGATAAATCATCAATCATTAATATAATTTTAAATGAAATAGGTTCAGACAATATCTTCCTTGAAAGATAGTTCTTAAAATTCAATTCACTTATTAAAATATAATTAAAACACATTGAGTCTACTTATTTTCAACATAAAGTTAAACAAAAGTTTTTTTACATATGTCTGTGTGACTGATTGTGTGTCTGTTTATAATTGAATGTTTGTCTGTGTGGTTTAACATATGTCTGTGTGCTTATGGTTTGTTTTGTTACACTCATAGGGCACTTGAACTCCAGATCCCATTGAGCAAGCATTTCCCTGCGCAGTACTCTATGTGCTCGGATGTCAAACATGTTTCCAAGTACGTGAAGGACATGCTTTCCAAACAACAAATGGCACAGTTTCGGAAGACACCATGGGGTCATTTTGCTGACATACCTGATATTCAGTTTTGTGCCCAAATCGTGCACATGTTGTTGTTACGTATGGTCAAGCAACAACCCAAAGATGAGCTCTGGTTCAACATAGTGGGCAAAATAGAAGAATTCACATACAACGATTTCTGCCGCATCACGGGCTTACCTCCGGCAGCCCCCAGGCCTGCCGTTGCCGAAGATACTGAAAAAGATGATGAAGACGCTGAAGATGAGGAAGAACCTGGGGAGATTTCGAAGACCTACTTTGGTGGATCACTGGATATCACTTTCCAGATGATGAAGGACAAGGTTGATGAAGTACGGGGAGGTAAAAAAAGGAAAGGTGACCTACCAGTGAAGCTTGCATCCCTCTTTGTAGTTGAGAATGTACTGTTGGGAAAAGATAGGACAACTCGGATCAGCCGGAAGTCTATTCAGCTTGTGAATGACTTTGAAGAGTTCAAGAAGGAGCCCTGGTCGAGAGATGCATATGATTTGCTTGTCACACATGTCAAACGTCTTCTTGATGGGCATCCAATGAAGTTTGTTGACAGTAAAACTAACAACCCTGAGTACAAAAATGCCAAGTTTTCCATCTACGGGTTCATATTGGTCTTACAGGTATGATCGCCATTTTATTAAGTTTGATTTTGTATTATATCCGTCCCAGACATATTTTTCAATGGTCACAAACACTCTGTGTACTTCCCAGACAGAGTTTTAAATTCTCACAAACATACATCTGCTCTGTATGTTTTATATTTTCACAATGCTCTATACTTCCCATAATATAAATTTCTTCACTAAACGTCGTATTTAGGTGTGGGCATATGAAAGAATTCCAAAATTTGGGGAACACTTTGGCACACGTGTTGGGAATGATGAAGTCCCAATACTAAATTGGACATGTCATGGCAAATTCCGGTCATCTAAGATACGGAAACTTGTCTTTGCTGATGTAAGTCTTCTTACTTTATCATTCCTAGTTTATCATTATAATTGTCCACTAATATATATATATTTTTATAATATGAAATCATGTTCATGTTTTCGTAGGAGGTGCCTACACCCCCTAATTTTGATGATGAAGACGAAGGTGAACATGACAATATTGAACTTGAAACAAGGGAAAAGGTTCAAGAAATGTGTTCAAATATTGATGAGATAAAAATCAGTGTTCAAAGGTTGGAAAAAAAAGTGGACGAGGAGCTTGGTGAACTGAAAAACTTACTGGTTAAGGTTATTGATACAGTCAACAAGGCTTTACAGGAAAAGGTTTAAACATCACTTGTCTGTGCAATGATTTGCTTTGTCTGTATTTAGTACATTTTTGTTTGTATGTAGTCTAAATATATATATATATATATATATATATATATATATATATATATATATATATATATATATATATATAACCAAGTGTGTATTTACTGACATTTTTTGCATCACATATTTATTGGCTCAAATGTATGCTAAAAGTGTGATCTAACCAACTTAACAATCTTCATACTCATTATAAGACATATTGTATTTAGTAAATATATAGTACATTTAGTAAATATTTAGTAAATATACTGTAAGACATACCGTACTAACAATCTTCATACTCATTATATAAATATATATATATATATATATATATATATATATATATTTGTGTTGGTTTGTAAGGGGAATCCA